TGAAAATTACTAATTAAAAAAATCTAGAAATACATTTTTTTAAGATTCAAGAGAATAAAAATCCCTTTATGAAACTTTCTTTTGTCTGACTACTGACGTATAAGAACAGTGAATCATGGGTGCTGATTTCCTTTGGAAGAAATCAATTGTCTCATCCACTTTCTCCCTGTGGGAATAAAATGAATGGCACTATAATTCCAGTTGCCACAAAACTTAGCAAAGTGTTTCCCTTTTCTGGCTAATATTTAAAAACATTTCACATGAAAGAGGGCACCCACTTTGCTGTTTACAGAATTTCTTTTTCTCTTTTCCCATTTCTTTCACTGGTTCACAGAAGAAATACAAATTATACTGGATTTAATATGATTCAGTTATTGTATTCTTCAATGATCAATTTACCCTCACAATAATTTTTAAATTAGAAATATTTAAATTATAATTCCTTCTAGATGATTTAAAATCCAATAGATAACCCTGAACTAAACTTAACATTTTTAATTTGTGTGAAATAGTTGAATTTCTTGGGTTGGTGAAGAAAGATAAAAGACAAATTAATGCCACTTATTCTTTAATTATTGTATAAGCCAACAACCTATCTTTTTCAAACTTGGCCATAGAATGAAGCCATAATTTTTTTGAATATGAAAATCATAAATAATCTAGGGACCATGTCTTTTGGCACAAGAAATCCTACAATGATAGTGGGGAGAGGAATTAAAGATTCCATTACCTTGCATGACCATTTGGTTTAGGTCCAATTCAAGCAAGCTATTACCTACTTATCCCTGGACAAAAATATGTGCTCATTCTGAAGAAATTATGCTCCTCTAAGGCCACGAAGCTTTCCAGTAAACTTCGTGTGGTATTTTAAACCAATCCAAGTTGCAGTATAAAACTAAAAGAAATTTTTATGTCAGATGAGTAAGTAAAAGAATCTGTAAAGCAAAAAGAAGTATACTGAAGATTAGATAGCTGGAGACTAACTTGCTGAGTAAAGTCATGTAGATTCAAATGAAAAGAATGAACTAATTGGGGCCACCAGAATTTGCAACTCTGTAGCCTGCAGCCTCTGGAGAATGCATTGTGATTTTAAAATACATCCTGAGAAGCATTCATCTTAGAAGATTCAGTAGAATAAAAAAAAATTCCATGGTCACATGGAGAAACTGTGCATAATGTCTCTCCTTTCTCAGATTTATAATGTACATCAAGTCATTGAAGCAGTGGTCTTTAAATGGGGTGTGACTATATCACAGGGTGCACAAGACAATTCAGTAGAAGGTAGGAAGGGAATTTGAAAATGTTTTTAAAATGTATTTTTATAATATTTTGATTTCTTTTATTTTTATGTATTTTATAATGGATATAACTACACAATAGTGCACTTATTCAATTTATATATGAGCATGTACACGCACATTGGGAATAAATTGTTATTGTTGAAAAAATATATGAAGGAAAAAATTGCAGACTTTTTCATTAGAGCATCTTAGAATTTTTGCAGTAAAGCAACATCACTTTGAACTTACATCACCATAAGCAACTTTGTGTGTATGTGGGTATATACCACACATCACTTACGACCCAATGAAGCACACTTTATGAATCACTGTTTTAGAAGCCAGATGTTTTTTCCCCTCAAACAGTGTGTTTTCATTTACTGTATCTGCTAAGAGGGGAATGATAATGACCTGAATTTTAGAGTATTTTGCAAATTCAATTACCTCTGGAAGGTCTTGATCAGAGAGTACATAACTAAAGCAAAATTATCACAAAGTAGAATTTTTACTTATTTGCAAGCTAAGAAGTTAGCCTGCCAAACTTTAATGGATGCTGTTAAAAGACATGAGATTCTTGAGACAGAGATGAATGACAGAGTAACCAGTAGACAGAGTATCAGCATTTTATTTTTATTTATTTATTTATTATTTACCAGTTCTCTAAGCTCCAATTCCTATAGGGAGACACGAAAGAGAGCTAGATGGTAGCTGTGCACATGAGTTTCTTACAGGAGAGGAAGTTTGAGCTTAGGGAGCCTGGATGTTTTATAATGGTCAAGAGCATGCTGAAGGCATTCAGTGCCTCTGCTCGCAAGATATGCAGAAACATGAGAACTTCATGGAGAAATGCTTCCCAATTAAGATGTGCTCCTGGGTTTGAGTTTACAAAGAGTAAGCCAACATACCCTGCACCTAGCAGAATGACCTCTTTCAAACCCTTCTTCACAAGGTCATCTTCATGGGCACACAATCAATCAGTGCAAACACACAAAGCCCTGTGCTCAGAACCCCTATCCTAGACTGTAGTTTAATGGCCTGTGACTACCTGTGATTCCTGTCTTAAAACACTTAATCATGTCAACTTAGACTTTATGTTTTGCAAATGAAATTGTGTGAGATAATAGAGTAATTGGAATCTTGGCTTATGGATAATCCTGCTTCCTGTCCACCTCCCTGCCTCCTGGGAATGGGTTTTAGACCATCTGCTGTCCCTGACACCCCATACCATGCCCAATCTCCCCATGCCAGGAAAGCTATTTCTCTCTCTCTGGGGCATGTACTGTGTTGTATTCATTTGGGGAATTCCTTGTCTTTTGTTGCCCTTCTCCCTACACAACGGCCCAGGGTGGGATATGGTGGCAACCATGCAGCCTTAGACTGGCAGTTACACATGCCGTCAGAGGGTAGCCAGGCCAGGCTGAGACTATGTATAGATGAGAGAAAGCCCCTAACTCACCTCTGATCCAGTGTATTCTGAGGACCAAGGATGCCTTTTGGCATGTGTGGGGTTTAAAGACCCTGAAATTGCCTGTTCACCAGGGTTGGAGTGGCAGGCCTATGGGAAGGGGTATCTGGCTGGACTTTCCTGGAGTGCACCAGTCTGAGTGAGTGCAGCATGCTAGTCTAGCAGCCGGCAGGAAGGGTTGCCCAGCTTCCTCTGAGTTACAGAGAGGGCCCCCAGACACAGGTAACAGTTTGCACTGATGCCAGGAGTGCCCCAGTTTCCAAGGGAGCACTCCTTCCCAACACACACCTCCTCTGACTCCATGCCTGAGGGACCATGTCTGCTGCCTTCCAACCTTGCTGAGTCTAGTTTACATTGTCTAGTTCAGCCAGCTTGAGGCATCCTCTGTGGATTAGCTGTGGAATATAAACTGTATAGCTTTGGAATTCTGTAAATGAGTTATATTTCCAATTAAAACTGGCATTGTATAATATAAAAATAAATGATTAAATTCATAGTGATAATTCCATATTTTAATTTGTCTTTACTTAGAGTGATGTTAAATAACATAAAACACATAATGGCAAGTCAAGAAAGAAAGAGCAAAATAAAAGAGAAAGTTATATTTTGTATTTTTTGTACCTCCCTTCCCCTTCCTTTTCAATAAGGGTCCTCACATTTTTGTTTTGCACTTGGACTCCCCAGTGTATGCAGCTAGCTCACATAATATATCTCTGCTTCACTTCACTCAAGGCCCTTCATATCAGAAGTAACTGATTTTGAAACTGTTAGAGGAGATACCTGTATTCTACATCTGTATCATACTCTTTTTTTCCACTTCTGCAATGGCAAGAGAGTCCCTACTTCTCTCCTGGGCTATCTTATCCCCTTGTATCCTGAACCCTTTACTCTTGTTTTTATCAAGGAACTCACAGTGGCATTGATCCTTCCTCTCACCCCAATCATGAAACCTTCACAGTTTTCACCTCTCCTGTATGATCCCCAGGAATATACAACATGCTTTACTATTATGCCCTGTTACCTTCAACATACACAACAACAACCATATACAAAACAAAACAAAAAATCTCTTGACCTCACAACCATAGTAGAGCTGCTGGCTTTCCATTTCTCTGCTCTTTCACAGCAAAAATTCTCAAGTTTGTATGCTCACTACTCCCTGTCTTCACTTCACATTCATTCATTGTTCCACTATAATCCACATACAGTCCACACACCTCCACTGAAATTGCTCATTAAATTATCAAACGATCCCTTACTGCCAAACCTGGCGCTCACTTATCTAACCCCCCCGTGGTATTTGACTTTATTTTTTTAAAATATATTTTATTGATTTTTTACAGAGAGGAAGGGAGAGGGATAGAGAGTTAGAGACATCGATGGGAGAGAAACATTGATCAGCCGCCTCCTGCACATCTCCTACTGGGGATGTGCCCGCAACCCAAGTACATGCCCTTGACCGGAATCGAACCTGGGACCTTTCAGTCTGCAGGCCTACGCTCTATCCACTGAGCCAAACCGGTTTCGGAAAGGTATTTGACTTTTCAGCAGCATTCAGCATAGTTTTTGACTCCTCTTGGAATTCTGGTGTCTATGACTTTATTCTCCTCGCTATTTAGCAACCTTGTTGGCTATTTATCAACCTTGTTGGCTATTTATCAGTCTTTCTCTGCTGCTTCCTTCTCTACCAAGACTTTAAATGATAGACTGCATCCAAAACTTAATACACCTCTCTCTACCCTTCTTTATACATTCTCTATTTTTCCCCCTACAGTTCTTATCTCCAGATTATATATCCAACTGCTTCATCTCAGATGTCTAATAGGCATTTCAGAATCAAGATGACCAAATGCAACCCTTAATTTTCCCCAGGTATGCTGGGATCTGTCTTTTTAAACTCAGTAAATGATATTGTGTTGTAGCAATATATAGAAATGTTTAAAAATGCTTTTAAAATGTCTAAAAATGTTAAAAAGTTTTTAAAATGTTTGAGTTAACTTTCCTGAAACCTAGACTGTGATATTAAGGACACATTCCCTACTGCCCTGAAGCATGTGTATCCCATAGGTAAGGATTTGCACTTTAGTTACTGACTCAGAGTGACTTGCTAAGATAACCATTTGTGTGAGTGATGTACTCTCCCTAGATAACCACATGTAACCCCCTCGCCCTGTTTGAGGTTAACATGTGTGCATTGACGTAATTCATTGATAGCCACCTGCACTGCTGTGGGTATGAAACAGGCTTTAAAAATGGGTCCTAGCCAGCCACCAGTGCTTGCCTGTTGAGACGGCCACAAAGGCACGTTCTCTTGTCAGTCTGGCAAGCGACGCCGCCCCAGCTCCTCTTCCTGCCAGACGACAGAAGAATGGCTAGTACCTCCTGATCGAGATGCGACCAAGCTCTCGGGTGAGGAAGGCCAGTCCCCTGCATCCCGACTGCACCAGCCCAGATGCCGGGCCCCAGAGGACAGCACCACCAAGATCCCATCAAGCCTGTACCCGCAGCATCAGGAACTTTTGTGAGTAATAAAGTGCTGTGTGATTTGTAACTGAATATGCTTCATGTGGTGTAATTCCTCCGGCAATTGAATCATCTTGCGAATGCTTAAAATTGAATTAAAGCCTCTGGTCTTTTCAGTCCTAGGCCTGCCCTTGGTCCTGCTTGCGTAGAGCAGCCTCTTTGCTAGAAGCTACTTGAATGTCCAACACCTGCACAGTTAAAGTTTATCTCAAGGGCCGCCTTCGATAAACACCCCAGATCCTGTCCCAAGATCTACTTGGGATGTATTGTCTAATCACTTACTTAACCCCTTGGCTTATCTTCCTTTATCTTTTGCATGCTGCCAAACAGCTAGTACTGTTTTCAAACCTATCGACCTAGTTGGAATCTGTTCTCTTTTCCATCTACTCAGATACCACTGTAGTGTAAGCTGGCAAGACTCTTGATTAGTCTCCTAACTTCCATGCTCTGAAAACCTGACAATGATCTGAGTGATGTCTTAAAAACACAAATTAGATTATGTTAGTGTTCAACTCTTAGAATGAGTACCATGGCTTACAAAATCATGAATTATTTGGGGTAGGCCTACATTTCCAAGCTCATCCCATATTACTTCCCCAGCATATTTCAGGCCCACTGGTCTCCTCTTTCCTTTCACAGGCTGCGGGGCTCAATTTCTTGGGGGCCGGCACATTAAGGGACTGGCAGATATCTAAAACAGAACTTGGAATATAGTAGTCAATAGATGTTAAATAAATATATACATTACCTATTTGTCCATCTATCTTTCTAAATGTGGGTTTATTAAATGCTTACTATGTTATTATTTGAAGATAAATTTAAGATTTTCATATATGCAAAATACTGCAAAAATCTCTGTGAGACAAATACTTTCACATATAATGGCTTCTGTTTTTAAAGTTGCTCATTTTATTCCCTGAAACAAAAACACTTGTTACTTTAATGTTGTGGTTTGGTTGTTTCTGTTACACTATTAGTGTAATTGATTGGTAGAATCATGATTGTGGGAAACCATATAGCTAATGGAATTCTTGAGGACCAGGATTTAAAATCCATCTGATTTTATGTCTCTATTATTCTTGACCCTGTGCACATTTTTACCTAAAAAAATGGTATTAGTACAATATTTACAGCAGGGATGAGCAACTTTATTAAGCAGGGCATCATGTAGCTCTATCCTACTCATGGTAAAATGGGAATAAATAATAAATATGAACAGGCTAGATGCACCAGAACATTCCTATTTTAGCTGCTCTTTTATAGTTTGGATATTTCAATGTATTAAAATACTTCCTCTATTTAAATCTGGATGCTCTGTAGAGGATCATTCAATTACATCAATATGATAACCAAATTGCCTATTGATTGTCTATTGATTAGGAGCATCGAAAGAATAGGAGAGGGCAGTAGATTTTTGGAGCCTGGGATAACTTCAGAAGTTGACTGAGCCAGGTGATGTGTGACAGTGAGGCACAGGGGACAGGATTCTTTCTGCCAATCATACAAGACTAAATCCACTCACCCTCAAGTCTATTTCCTCTGGGAAGCCTCACATTTCTCAAGTCCCAAATTCCCTTATCACGGGGCTTATTGTGCTGCACCAGCTTTTTACTCCTTACATCCTCCATTAAGTTATAAGTTCTGTGAGGATGAGAACTATAAATGCCTAGGGCTATTTCCCTATTGAATTGAATAATGAATGAATGGATGGGTGGAATTGAATGAATGAATGGAGTGTTAATGTAATAGTTCATTATCATCTGGAAGAATAGCTTGGAGCTATTTAAAAAGCTAGGGGAGAGATTATGTCATGTTTGACCTCTTATTTGGATCAGATGAAGGAAATTTTTAAAACCCAGGAAAGAAATCTGTTGTATTATTTGCTCCCTGAATGAGGTAGTTTGCTGAGATAAGACAATAAGAAAAAAGAGAAGAAAAAGGAAAAAGAAACCTCAGGATGAAATCTTGACTCTGTTTCTTATTGTAAGTTTATGATTTATATAAAAAAGAAAATGATACCTGACTTGAAAACATAAGTATAAAGTTATTAAAGTTAGCAAAATAATAACCACTCAATTAATAATAAATGTTATCATTATTTGTTATTACTATTTGGATGGTGATTTGCGAAGTTTTATAACAATATTAAATTTTGAGACTTTTTCCAGGACTTAATCCATGCTGAAGGTAAACTAATAATCTTTAGAGTAATATATAGAATAAAGCAATGATCTTTATAATAGTTCTAATATATTATTAATTACCAATCATTTGCATATAAAGTACCTTTTATATAAGAGAATTATTTTTTTTTTGTATCAGACTTCTAAGGTTAAGTTCCAAGGACTTGAAGTTATAATTTTTCGTTTCAAAGGTAGTCCACGTTTCAACTTTGAAAGTAGAATTAAGATGGGATTGTTCCTTTCAAACATCACAGAAGTGTTCAAGTAATTAACTATATTAAATAATGGCTCATTTTAACACCTGCCTACCCTCTTGACTATATTCTTGTAGTAAACATTATCTGCCATACTCATTACATGTCTTTTTCAAATCCCATTCCATTTCTGCCATCTCCTCAATTTGCAGATGGAAATTATGCTACATGAGGTAATCTGTTTTGAACAAAACAAAAAGTGATTGCTCTCAACCCATATGTGTATCATTTACCCTACCCAGGAATTAGGTCTTTCATACTTGCTTGAAATAATGATATATATTATTATAAACAGCAGATTATAATGAGATTAGGCTCTTGTTTGGAGAAGGTTACATGGCTAATGTGAATTTTTAAAATTGCCTTTCAGAGGTGAATCATTGATTTAAGTATAAATAAGTCAGAAATGAAAAGAAGTTATTACCCTCTAAAAGTTAAGTGGTGATATTGGTCCAGTTTCTAGTTTCCCCATGGACTGGTACCCAGTCTTGAAAGTGACACGTCATTTAGCAATGCTGATGAGAGTCTCACCTGAGAGGAAGATGTACATGGTCCCGGGGGTCTCCTTCCAGAGAGCTATCCTAACTCACAGATGAAATAAAGCCGAAAACTTCTTGTGACCTTTTGGTAATTTCATAAAACGTAACCTTCTCAATTGGTATTTCTGTACCAATAACTGGCAAGGTTGTAGAGATTAATGACAACAAGGACCACTCAGAGGACATTGGCATGCAGACTTACCCGCCATTAGCCTAATTTCTCTCCACACAAGGTCGGTGGAGTTGCAGTCACATTTATTCAGGGATAATCAACCCTTATTTGGATACTGGTGTGTTAATGATGGTTTTTTAAAAATCTGCCAGGGTCAAGTATATCTTTTGTAAACCATACTGATTAGTATTTATCAAATTTGAAGAAAGATATCTGGGAATAACACAAGCATAATATTGAGGAAATTAGAAATCGAACACAATTTAAAGAGTGAACATCTTCATTTAAGAGTGAGCATCATCTATAAAAATAATAGCATAATATGCTAATTAGACCAGATGTCTTTCTGGATGAAGCAGGGAGGCAAGGGCCAAGGCAGAGGTAGCCACTGCGGTAGGTGCTTTTCTAGTAGGTTAATCTTCTTGTCTTTCAATTTGCATTTCCCTTATCCTTAATGACTTTTATTTCCTTGATATTGAGTAACCTTTTATACCTTTTAAAAATCACTTTCTAATATCTTCTCTTAAGATGTTTAAATATTTTATAAATATTTGTAAATATTTTTACTTGTTTATATTTTTATTGGCTTATAAGTGTGTATATATGTATATATATATACATATATATACATATATGTAGATATATAGAACATTTCAAATCCCTAACAGCTAATAAAGCAACTCTTTTCTTAAAATAATAATTTTGGAAAAAGCATAGTATATATACATACTTTTCTTAA